TGAGTTGAGGGCATAGCATGAATTAAAGGGCTTCCCTAATTGCACTGGGACAGAGCCGGGACTCAAAGTCTGATTCTCCAAGTCCTAATTCAGCCAGACCATCCTGATCACTAGTCCACCGCAGTGTCAACTTGCTGCCTACAGTCTCTCACCCTGTTACACAAATCCTAATTGCACAATCAGATATTTCATGGGGCCAATGCCACTGTATCATTACTTTTCTGTTGCATCTTTCTGGTCGTACGGTCTCTGTACATGACTTGAGCCATCTCCAGATGCACAAGGCTGAAAACCACCACCGTGACAAGCCTGTCTAGATTGCTCACCTTAACTCCTGTCGATGCCGCACATCAAACGGGCGCAGGTGTGTCATTCAGCACAGATTTGGCACTGATTCATTTTGCCTTCCTTCTCTTTCTGTTAAAGCATAAGAGCCAAGACCCCTTGACTCCACGTGGGAAAAGTCTGGCAGCTACCAAGCTCTGGAAGTCCTTGCCAAGAGCAGCATCTGACTGTGTGCCTAGACGCCTGGCTGCTCTCCTATGACACCCTGGGCTATTGCGCTGTCGGCTGTGAAATTCTTTTTGTGGCTAGTGCAAGGTTGTGGCTCTGATTAGATTTCTGTGTCCCTGATATCACCACTGTTCTGTGTAATGATCTCCTGTGCTAATCAAGCTGCCAGCCACCGGCACCGTACACATCCACTAGCAACCCCAGGAGGTGTTCTCTGAATTATTTTCCTGTGTTACAGGAAGGGGAAGATGTCCTTTATAAATTTTAAATTATTTCCATATATTTGCTACTTTATTTTAGTTCTGCTCCACATAGGCCAAGTGCATATTTTGATTTGCGTTCTCTTGTTCTGCATCTCTAGCCCCTCTGCATCTGTTTGTAGGTCTATATTTAAGCTGTATATTTAAACTTTGCAGCAGACAATTTCCACCCTAAAGGAATCGTTGTTTCTACTTCCTTTGCAATACTTGGTTTATAGATAGTGCAAGAATGTGAACCTAGTTCAAGGAGGTCACAGCCAAAATAGGCTGCACCCACTTGCCAATGCCCTGTTGTCATATAACATATGGTACATGCCCTTGGGAACTGTAGCCTGTTGGCATGGTGTAAAATTTAAAAAAAAAAACAACAACGAAATAAAGAACCCCCCCAAAGCAGCACTAAATTTCACTAGCGCAATGTAGAATAAGTCCAGAATAAACAGTAATTGGCACACCAGAGAACATAGTTCTGTATACATCCATACAGATGTATCAATGTGCTTATGATTTTCAAAGCTGAGTAGGTACATGCAGGCGTATAAGTTCATGTTTAACCACCTAAAAAAATGGTCTGCTTTTCCAAAGTGCTGTGCAATCAGCAGATCCCACTAAAGTCAAAAGTAGGAAATGAACCTTTGTATTCTATACTTCTATTTTTTTTTATAGTGCTTTTCCTAATGAGTCTATTCTAAACCTTTTGCTAGCAGAGCCCTCAAAAAAATGAACAAAGAACAATCATCTTAACTGTACTGCAATATACTCTCACAATAACTAAAAAATGTGGTGGGAAAGACAAAGTACTACTTTTACAATATCCTGTGCCAAATCACAGGTTATACAATTCAGTTTTTTATTTGCACAGCTAACAGTGCTTTGCAGAGCAATCAGGGAAGATAATACAATCCATTTTAAATTCTCATTACTTTAGAAGTGTTGAATCTTCTTAAATTGTTTCGGGGTTAATTGAGAATTTGCAGTTTTACAATAGACTAGGAATTGTTTAGCCTGCCCTTGTTTCATATTTTTGTGCATACCTTTGTTGCAAAGTTATAAAAACAACAATAAAAAAAGAAACAAAGAAGTGAAATGAAATAATGATCTGCATTGTTACTATTCTAGTAACTCATTTTTACGGGAGATAAAGCTTACATATTGATTAATGTTTAAATGGTTATTAAGTGGAAGGACATGTTGGATTGATGGAATATCTCACTATGTGCTAGCGTTTGCCTTTGATTCTTTTCCAAATATTTCCTAAGGGATAATTTCTGCTCCTGGGGAAGCCAGCGGTGAAACTCTGAGTGACTTTTGTGCGAGCATGAATAAGCCAAGTGTTTTCAGTATTTGTCTCTTTTTCTCACAAATTCCAAAAGGTTCTGGTTTCCAAATTTGTCCTTTAATGTATTTTAACATAGCAATAGCTCATAAAAATGTGGAATTTTTCATGGCTGTATATATTGAATTTTTGATCTTGAAACTGGCTGCCTGAACACCACTGTGCTCCTACATAGCATGGAAACATCAATCTGGCTCAGCAGCCCTGAGGAGATCGCATATTTCAAGCCTGAAGCAAAGTCTTGGTAAAGAACAGCAGTCATGTGGACAATGTTGCCTGTCAGCACCTCTGAAATTAGCCATGTTCATCTTCTGTAGGATAATATCACTTCCCCTGGAGGTACACCAAAGACATTTTGAGGCAACTGATGACTTTTTTGGTAAGAGAGGTATTTCTCTGATGAACTAAGAGAAGGCTTTCTGCTAAAAGCAATTTTGTTTTTCAAAGACAAAACTCAGTATTTTTTGTTTAGACTCTCATTTTTTTGAAATAAGAGTACTTTATCAATCTTTGAAGTATAACGTCAATCTATAGAATAGTTTATTTAAATGGACCTGTGGGTCACATGGCAAATTCATAGGGATTCTGGAGCCCTGTGCTTTCTAAGGCATAAATTCAAGTCCTGCTCTGCCTCCAGGTAATCCAGTTGTAATGGACACCTGATCTGTGGGCTGGGAAAATATGCCTATCTTTCTGTCTTGTATTTCTCAGGCCTGAGTACCTGTGTGTGCACTGCCTCATTTATGCATGAGGAAACCAATTTGCCCAGAACTTTTCCCTTTTTAACAATTACTTTTTCTT